GTGAAAGTTGACATGGATGGCGACCAACGTCCACAAGAGATTGCTTTAAGACGTAAGCGGTCACTTAAGAAGTGGAAGAGCTTTCCTGCCACAGGTAATTCTTTCAAGGGTGGTTCTCGGAGCAAGAAGTGGACAAAGGGTATTGATTCAGACATCCTACATCTAAATGGCAATCCACTCCCAAAGCTCCCTGAAGAAGAGGAGGCCGTTGGCATAATAACAATGGAAGATGTCATTGAAGAGCTTTTACAGGTACTCTGACTATGTTTAGCAGGCTTCTGATTTCATTTTTGTCAAACAGTTTCTTACTCGTTTGCCTTAAATGTGTCCTTGGCCAGGAGGAGATCTTTGATGAGACGGATCATTATTATGAGGACTCATGACATCTGTGTTGTCGCGAAATTTTTCTATGTTAAGAGATAATGATGAAAAAAATTGTTATTTCTATTTTGAAACGTAGTTAAATTTGGTTCGATAGAGCTTATTACATGCATATTCGAATCTGTACCGGTTGTATACAAATGCAATCAGCAGTTGAGTGACAAGGTAAACCATATTTTTGTAAATATGTTTAAAACTTGTGTAAGTAATTGCAGATGGAAACAACGAATTGCTGAGCAAAGAGAAACTAGCCTATATTACTTCATGCATTTAGGAGCATTGCATCAATTTGAAACACTAGTGTTATGCCAGAAGTTCAAAGAGATTACTCTACTCAATATAAAATACATCTGCTAAGTCTAAACATGATAATCCGAACAATAATCACATATAAATTTGATAGATGTTTTGACACGAATTATTACATAAATACGTGAATTATTATCTCCTCTAGTATAAAACGAATTATTATGTTTACTGGAAAATGAGGATCAACGCAAGGAAAACTCAACATTAGCGTTTAAGCATATATTCATCATGGAATCAGAAACGACCTCTTTACAAGTTACAACTGATAAATTATTAGTAGCACATAGATTGACAAAACTAACTTACAGTAAAACCCTTGGATTACTCACTTGCGATGTTTCCTTTTCTCATCCTTCCTCTTCTTTTTCTTATCTCTAGATTTTTCTTTAGATTTCTGCTTCCTACTGTGCTTCTTGTCTGAGCTCTCACAGTGGCCCTTTTCTTTCTTCCGTCTATGCTCATGAAGCTCCTCATCAGAAGATTCATCCGACTTCAGTAAAAAAGGCTTCTCAGGACCCAACACGACACGATGTTCCCTTGCAATGGGGATTGTTGACAGCTTCTCTAGAGAGTCAGAATTTGTGGGTAGGTAAGGTCCTGTTTCATCCATCCTTGAACCTATAGAACCTCGACCGCGCTTCACCCTGTCATCATAAAACAGGTTCATGTCAGCTGATAAATTTTTACCAGTGAACTTTTTTCTAATTAAAATAAGAATAACATATATACACTACGGGGTGACTGCAAATGCAAACACATGCGACAGTGCAAAGCGACTCATGTCAAACAACAAATACTTCCCCAACACAACAGTTTTTCATATAAAAATGTGGAAGAAAAATTTCAGCTGGTTGGAGGTACAAACCTTGACTGAAGAAATTCCTCAACCGCTTCATCTCTTAGACCTTCATCTTCCCTTGAATAACTCTCTGCCACTCTCTTGCTTGATAAGCATGAAGCACTAACATTGCTCTCATGCCTCCTACTTTTGCTTCTGGAGGGGTTGCTAATGTCCCCATGACTCCTGTTATGCCTGCTATCGTTTTTTGATGTTCCTTTTAGCCTATCATTTAGCTCCAGCTCCTTTTGTCGAACTCGCCACATCTCATTCACTTCAACAGCTCTATTTGCTGAAAAAGAGGGGAAAAGAAACAGATAGACATCATACACGTTAGCAACAAAATCTACGAAATTTACAAGAGAAACATCTATAACAATTGCAAAATTCTGTTCATATATCTACAGAGCTTATTGTGGATGCAAAAGATACTTCCAAATTCAATGTAACAGACCTATTTCCTTATTATTTTCTATTTTCTTGGATGCATGTGTACCAACTTTAGCTTCACAGGCCATCTAATAAGATACATTTTCATCTTCTAACACTCCTTCTAGGTACCTAAAAGCCCTCTGTTCTTCTTTCACCACTCCAAATTGGAATATATAAAAGCAGCCAGTGTTCTTAGCAAACTAACCTTGCTCGAGAACTTCTTTGCAAGCAAAGAAGGAGCGGACCAACCATCAATTGAAAAGCACTTAAATCTAGAATCAAAAAGAAGAAAAACAGAATAACAAACCTTGCTGTACACCGAGTACAGTTGCAGTAAGGAACCGTGAATTTGGCCGGCCCCTTACTTTTGGCTGCTGAAGATAAACATGAACAGCTTCCCTGTCTGCTTGTCGTCTCAGTTCAGCTGCTTCTTTTAAAAGAATAGCAGCTATCCTGTTTTCTGTTTCCAGATCCATCTAAGCTGCAAAAAACATATTCAGAACCAGATACGTTAACAGATGCAATTTGCGTTGAAACACATCGATAATTTTAAAATCACCAACAGAAAATCTTTAAAAAGATGATTTCTAATAAAATCCACCATGAATTTACCAATGTGAAAACTGATGAACTCAAATTTGAACAATTATGAACCAAAAACCACACAAAATCAAAATTTGTTCCCTTTTTAATATCCCCAAATCCCAAGGAACACAACAGCAGTTCACATTAAACTTCTCGAAAAGGATACGTAAAAAGGAATATAATTTCCCCGAAGCCGACATTAGAATAGACGATAAGATTGCTCAGAAAAATACATATAAAAAAGAATAAGAGAAGAATTACCCAATTAATGGATGAACCTATGCGATACCAAAGTAGAAATTGATTCAATTGAAGCAAAACCGTTTCCCCTTTGGAATCGAAAACCCTAATCCTAACTCTCTTTCAAAGTTGGGTGATTGCGGCGTTGCCTTTTTCGTAAAGTCTACCTTTTTAATTAGGTCGTAATGTTGTTTGTCCTTTTTCGGGTGGATTGGGTGCATGCCACGTCGGATAATAACAAGACAAAGTAATGGTCCCACATGACGTGACAAAAGATGACTGCAAGTAATTTATTTTGACTACGTTGAGCCGAAGACAAATGGCTAGGGTTTATTCTTTGGCTTTGGCCGTAGAAAAGCCATCACAATTTTTGGTTTCCAGTATTTTGACAAAAAAAAAAAATAATGTCTCTGATGAACAGTCTATCAACTTCAATGATTTCTTCATCTTCCTCTGCTTTCTTAGCTGCAACAAGTTTCAATTCAAGGTACTTTTTTTTCTCCTTTCAAATTTCTTGGCTCTGTTTGGATGTTGAGAAAAAATTGTCAATTCTCGTTCTTTTTACTATTTCAATTGAACAAAGTTCTTAGTTTTTACAGTTTTGAGTTTTTGGGTTTTGTTTTTTGGGATAATGAGCAGAACCCATATTGTTTCAGTTCCAGTGAAAGGCATCAATGTATTCAAATGTGTTGCCACTCCTCAAGAACAGCGGACTGGTGCTTATTCTTTTTCTTCTTTTCCCCTATTTATTAGTGCCTTTTTTTTATCATTATTGCAATAAATTTTGGGAATATGAAAACTTAAAGTTGAGCTGATAATGGTATTTCTACTTTCTATTAATCCTTTTAAATTTCAAGAATTTTATGACTAAATGGTGCTATGCTGGTTGTTGTCTGTTTTGAAGCTTACAAAACTAAGGTTTCTCGCAATGAAAACATAGCCAAGCTTCAAGCTGGTTACCTGTTTCCAGAGGTCTGTTGCACATTATTTGTAATGCTTGTCTTTGTTGCTATTGGTGTTATGCATAAACTTTTTCCCTTGATATATAGATTATGTTTGTCATATCCTGTTTCAGAAGTGCTTCAGTTTTGACTGTATGCTTCTTTTTTGTTTTTTTCCAGTAAGACAAATTTTGCGCAGTCGGTTTTACAAACTTTTATTTATGTGCTGTTGAGAGTACTTTCTTTTAATGGTTTATGTAATAGGTTGCCAGAAGAAGGGCTGCACACTTGCTGAAATACCCAAATGCACAAGTGATAAGCCTTGGAATTGGTGATACTACAGAACCTATTCCAGATGTTATTACTTCTGCAATGGCTAAGGTACATATTCCATTATTCTTGTACTTTTTGGGCAATCATCAAATTTTCTTCAAGCCTACTTTGTAGGAAATCTGTTACTAAGCATTTATGTTTCTGAGTAGTGCTTGAATTGATGGATGAATATAAGAGATTAAGCTGATATCCATTTGAATTATTTTCTATTTGACAGAGATCTCATGCTTTGTCTACACTGGAGGGTTACAGTGGTTATGGAGCCGAACAAGGTGAAAAAGTATGTTGTAGTTTTGACTCTTTATAGATATTTTATCACTAGTAGATGCATAAATAGGTGGGAGTGGGGTGGTAGCAAATTGCTGATGCTTATTTGTTAACTATAAACTAACGGCACAAAGTGGATTGAGTTGGGATAACAAATAAGTCCACTACTATTATTCACAGGTATTTCATTGTATTTTAGATGTCAAATACCATGATTGAAGACACAACCTAAATGTTAATGTCTGCAGGCACTGAGAGCAGCACTTAATTCAGTATTTTATAGTGACTTTGGCATTGAGGAAGATGATCTATTTGTCTCAGATGGTGCTAAATGTGACATATCACGCCTTCAGGTTTGATTTAATTATGAGATTTCTTTGCAAGTAATTTGCATTACTTTGCTTGAAGTAATTGATTCTTAGTATGTTAACTTGTCTATCAGAATTAATCTTGGTGGTTTTGCTTTCACTTTGGGCTAGGTTGTTTTTGGATCTAATGTTACAATGGCAGTGCAAGACCCATCATACCCGGTAATTCATATTCAAATCAAGTAGAACGACTTTTCTTTGTTGTTTTAATGTGTCAATCTTTTTCAATCTATTTTTATCATCTTCTTATGTCAAATGATTATGTTGGGTTGCTCTGGTCCTTTGTGGTATGAAGCTTCAACCAACAAATTTTCAGTTTGTTTATTTGGAAGGGAGGTCGGTCTGTGAAATTCCGATTAACCTACTTCAGTCTCCCTCTATTTAAAACATGCTATCACTCACTTTACCCCATTAAAACTAGGACAAATTAATTCAGATACCTTTAGATTTTTACAACTTAATAGGTTAGGTGTGTTAGTTCTGTTGGGTCCTGGGAACAATGACCAAAATACCAGATAGTAAAGAAAGCTAAGGGCTTTTCTGCCGTCCCCAACTGGTGGATGGTGTTAGCACCTGCTTCCACATTCTGTTGGTAGGTGGTTTTCCAAGTATAAATGCAGAGGTTATTTTCAGATTGAAATGGATGGAAAAGAAAAGATAAAGAAACAAATAATGGAGTGGGGGGAAGAGTAAAGCACTTAGCTGCAAAAGAAAAAAAATGGCTTTCTTGTGTCTTTGTAATTATTTGCTATTCTATGCAGGCTTATGTAGATTCCAGTGTTATCATGGGTCAGACTGGACAGTTTCAAAAGGATGTTGAGAAGTATGCAAATATTGAGTACATGAGGTGTACACCAGAGAATGGATTCTTTCCTGATTTGTCCACTGTTGCTAGAACAGATATCATATTTTTCTGTTCACCAAACAATCCTTCTGGTGCTGCTGCAACAAGAGAGCAATTGACCCGATTGGTTCAGTTTGCTAGGGAGAATGGGTCTATCATTGTCTATGATTCTGCATATGCCATGTATATGTCAGAGGATAACCCACGTTCTATCTTTGAAATTCCTGGAGCAAAAGAGGTATTTCTGGAGTTAATGATTTCTTCTTTAACTAGTGCTTGTTATCCAGAGTGGTAAAAAATAATTGTATGCTTGATGTGTAAATTTACTTATTATTATCTTAGGTCGCAATTGAAACAGCTTCCTTTAGCAAGTATGCTGGGTTTACTGGAGTTCGTCTTGGTTGGACTGTTGTTCCAAAACAGCTTCTATTTTCAGATGGATTTCCTGTAGCCAAGGACTTCAACCGTATTGTTTGTACTTGCTTTAATGGTGCATCTAACATTGCCCAAGCTGGTGGCTTGGCTTGCCTTTCACCTGAAGGGCTTGAGGTTAGTGTCCTTGCCTGGCTTTATTGTCAAAATGTGCAAGAGAGGACATATCCGAACGTTTTCTGGTTCACTTCACCAAGTTTGTAATATTCTGAAAATTTCATATACATCAGAGTTTCTGGATGCCAGCACTCTGATTTTTGGATTTTGTTTCCTTGCAGGCTATGCAAGAGGTGATTGGCTTCTACAAAGAAAATACCAAAATTATAGTAGAGACATTTAACTCTCTTGGGTTTAAAGTGTATGGAGGAAAGAATGCACCATATGTGTGGGTTCACTTTCCTGGCCGAAACTCATGGGATGTGTTTAGTGAGATCCTGGAGAAGACCCACATTGTTACTACGCCTGGAACTGGTTTTGGACCTGGCGGTGAAGGTTTCATCAGGGTCAGTGCATTTGGTCACAGAGAGAATGTCTTGGAAGCCTGCCGAAGATTCAAGCAGCTTTACAATTGAATCAAGAGCATTTGACTGGTCTAGCGTGTCTTGGTTTTGGACCTGAGATGAAAGACCAGCTGCTTTATGCTTTGTGTTCTCTTTTCTTTGAGGAACATTGATCATGATATCTCATTGGATTCCATGTTTAGAAAATGCCAGAAATGCGGAGAGTTTGTCTTGTGAAAGTAAAATTAGTTTTATCTATGGAACTCTGGCCTTTATTTATTTAATAAGTTAATGGAAAGGTTGTTCGAAGCAACCTTATTCTGAGTCATGCAAAACTGACCCCAAGATTTGCATATTTTTGAGCAATCAAAGCAGAATAAGTCTAGACTAACTTGGAAAGCCTATAGCCATAGTCATCGTAGGCTTGTAGCAGTTTCCTGGTTTTTCAAAACCATGGAAACTAAATTTGGGTGTGATTCTACATTATTGAAACAGGAACTGATTTGACCTAAAAATTCATTCACTAAGATTATTAATTGTCTAACTTGGATCTTGATTTTGCATACTGGATTTCTTATTAACAAATAGGTAGCTACCATTGTAATGGTTTGAAGAAAGATTGCAGAAAGTTTGATCTCTGTTGATATGAGATCTTTCCTGTAACTTTCTTAAGGAGTTGCAAACTAGTAACAGACACGAAATTTTCTAATGACTTTTCTCTCAATGTATGTCGGAAATCTCTCTTGTATCCTTGTCCTAAAGGGGGGGAGTTCTGTAATATGCTGGCACAGTTAGAGGGAAAAACATTTGTCTCACTCCTTCAGACTTTATAAGGGGGAAAAGGATGCCTGATGCAACCTGAAACAACAACAAATATAGAAGACGTAACACATAAGAATTGGTAAAGGAAAATCACTGTAAGAAAATGTTTAATAGAGATACCGACCCAAATCAATTTAGCCCCAGTCCACATGCGTTTGGGAGAAGGAAATGGTAGTAACAATCGGCCAACACCATATATTGCTATGGCAAAGCAATGAAATGCTAAGCTTAAAGGACGAGGGTATAGACCAGAGAGCAGAGCTGATAGTCCATCTGTAAATACGCCTCCAATCCTCAAATAGCCGAAACATGCCTGTTGGATATCCTCCATTGCTGGATCAGATGAGGCACTGAATACCTTGTGTAGGAGGTTAGCCAATGTATTTATTGTAGACGCCATTGGCTGCAGACACGACCAAAACCTCCAGTTAGTGCAAAATTCTTCAGTTCCTGATGCAACTAAGTGAAGTTGCCCTCATTCTTTTGTTTTCTATATTAATTAATTAGTCATTTACTTAATTCGGAGTTTTTTCCATTGTCATTCACTTTCAAAATGTGTATAGAACATCAATGGCAAATTTATTAGGCAGGAATATATCTATCTAGCTTACCTTCCTCAAAGTATAAAAAGATTCAAGATATTTGCAAACCGCGTATGCATCATATAGATTGTGCAAAGGTCTTAGAAGATCCCTCAGTACAACAACATCAGATAGTGCAACAGTCATTCCCCCGCCAGTTATAGGATGCCGCATGTTGAATGCATCACCCATCAAAAGTGCACCAGGAGTCGGGCATGAAGCTGCAGCCATGATTCTATTTGGCATGGTTCTTATGTTATTCCTCTTCTCTATTGCAAAGATAAAGGCAGTTTGCAGTTCAGGAGGAACCTGAAATGTGTAAGTCATATATATTGTTCGCCAGCAGAATCAACCAAATAAGTGTCAGTGTTAAAATTTTCGGGAGAGGCGGATTGAAAGCAAATCATAAGAACAGGTTCGCGAAAACAGCTAGTGATGTTTGATTTCAGAAAAGCATGCGTATTTATTGACAAGGACTAGCCAATTTGATTTTAGAATAATTTCATGAAACATCTTTTGCATTACAGATAGTATCTCAATTCTCAAATCCCCCAAATGAAAAGGGAAGTTTTCAATTCTTGTGACTATTATAATTAATAAATATAAAGACAATAGAATTGATAAAAGAAAGACACAGGTACCTTGGGAGCCACCAGAGTTTTCAAGTAATGAGCCATTTCACCATCGGAAACTGAAGGTACATTTTGGCTAGGTACATCAACCAAGCAACGAATTTCAGTGCTGCTAATGGGATAAAATAGGATAGGTGAAGGATCTGCTAATATAAGAGCTCCAAAATTTGCATGCGGAAGTTTACAGTTGTTCAGAATCAAACCAACAAAATACGAGGGGACATCAACCTGCAGAAATAATCAAGATCTTTATATTTTCTCAAAGCATAAAATTTAAGAAGATTAAGCAAAGATTTCCAAAGCATTTTCACCTTAGGATAGCAGAGAGAGTGTCTCAAATTTGAGAAACCACCATCGCATACAATGGTGAGGGGAGCATATGCTGTCAACACTTGACCACTCTTGTTTTTGTAGTGCACTCCTTTGACAGTCCCATTTTCTTCAAGCAGAGATGTTACTGTCCCTTGTCCTAGACTTACACTACATAATCAAATGACAAGAACATGAATTTGGAGGTTGTGGAAAAAGGTATAATTAGATGCAGTACAACAATTTACAAACCACAAGAAATTTTGTAAATTTCAGATCAAATGTAAGCAGCCACAAGTCATTTAATCAAATCAAAAGAAATGTTCTGAGAACATCCTATGTTGAAATTGAAGAATGATTGAAACGAAGGAGATAAGTACTTGTGAAGAGATGCAACTTTCTCCCGCAACCTTTGAACAAAACGACCATGATGAAAGTTTCTTCCAGCCACATGGGACTGAAACTTTTCCAGAGGAAAAGATACCTTGGCATCCTTTCCATCCTTGTATAGAACATAACCCAAAATTCGCTGAGCGTCAATCTCATCTACACAATCTGCAGTGCCAGAAACCAATGTAAAAAAAGAAATAGAGACAAGAACAAGAAGAAAAGAGTCCCAATGTTTTATTTCTTGCTTACCCTCAAGGCCTAACTCAATCAACTTGAGGTAGCCCCCTGGCATTAGACCTTCACCAGCAATTGTGTCAGGCGCATTTAAGTCCCTCTCGATCACACGCACTCGACGTCCGTCCTGCAACATGTAAGCAGAAAGAATGTTAGTGTACATAATCCTATCATAGTTAATAAAAATTTCAAGGATTTTTATGGAAACTCGAGGAAGAAATTAAGATGATGAAACTATGCTGGGAAAAGAGAGAAATATTCGGACCTTTCCAAGAGCATAGGCAAGAGCAGCACCGGCAACTCCAGCGCCAACTATGATAATATCAGTAGTCCCAACAACCTCACGATTTCCAGTTTCCTTCACACAGTTTTCCTTTGGAAACTCCATAGAAGCTGTTCTTGTCTTCTTGTGTCCTCTTAATAAAGACTTGTAGTACAAGAAAAATAACCCCAGAAGAGAAGCTATCGCTCCTCCAACTCCAACTATAAACTGATAAGCCATTAATTTAAGAACAATATAGATCAAATATGGAGTTAATGATCAAGAAGAACGGGATCAAAGGGGGTGGTGAGGCTACTATTCTTTATGCTCTACCCCTTTATATAAAACTCCTTTTCCGTGTATGCAGCTGCTGAGAAGGCGGTTAGCTAGTATTGAAATTTGTTGCCTGAAGTAATTATCACAAGAATATAAAATCAATATATAACAATCAATTATTAAAAAATATAAAAAAAATAAAACACATCAAAATTTACGTGAAAAATATTTCAATATAAAAAAAAAATTACGGATCACAAGAAAAATTTTTACTATCAAATAATAGTTATACAAAGTTTTTCTCTAGCTAAAATTAGAGCTAAACAACAACTAAAGAAACAATTGAAAAAATCTCACCAAATAAGTGACTCAACAAATATACCATGAATTTATTTCTAGAGAGCTTCAAACCCGATCTTCACCTTTCAGAATGTAAAACTCTTAATCATAAACCTCCTGACAAGGTTCCAACTTAATCGGACCACGGATCGACTTCCGTTCAACCAACTTTTCCTTCTCTTTTTTCTCTCTGCTTTTTCTAGTTTTACTTCTTTTTCTACTTTGATTTTCGACACTCCCTTAAAACAACCTCACCTCTTTTTTATTAAGTAGCTGGGCTTTGTGTAAAATGAAAGATCAAGGCCCATGACCTTTACTTGGTCCAAAATCACTTACATAGGGCTGGACCCCATTTTTCTAACAATTTCTCCCTTCAGTCCCATTAGGAGGAAATTCATCACCATAGCAGTTTCATTTGAAACTTACCTTGGTCAGGGAACTCATTTCGACCAAGTTACTGTAAAGCTCAAGCTTTTTCTTGAGAAGTATCTTAGTTAACATATCTGCTATATTCTTATCAGTATGGACTTTTTTCAACAGCATCTGATGTTCTTCAATTACTGAACGTAACCAATGATATTTAACATCAATGTGCTTTGTTCTAGCATGGTACATGGCATTCTTACTTAAATCATATACTTTTTTTATTCAACCCCAATTCAAAAAGAAAACGTTTCATCCAAAGTATTTTTTTACATGCTTCGGTTGCTGCAATATACTCAGCCTTTGTAGTTGACAAAGCAATACACTTTTACAACTTAGATTATCAAGATACAGCTCCTCATGTAAAAGTGAACAAATACCCTGAAGTAAATTTTTTACCATCAAGATCATCTGCCATATCAGCATCAGTAAACCCTTCTAGAACTGATTGTGAAACTTCATAAGTCAAGCACATTTTTAAGGTACCCCTTAAATATCTAAAAATCTATTTCACTGCTTCCCAATGAACTTTTCTCAGATTAGAAAGAAATCTGCTCACTACACCAATTGTATGAGTAATGTCAGGTCTTGTACAAATTATAAGATATATTAAAGAACCGACTGTAGAAGAATAAGGAATACTAGATATAGTTAGTTGCTCTTCCTTAGACACTGGATAAGATTTCTTACTTAGATGAAAATGGTTGACAAGTGGACTGCTAATTGATTTAGCATGTTGCATGTTGAATCTACCAAGCACTCGTTTAACATACTTTTTTTTGTGACAACCATAGCTTTCTAGCTCTCCTATCTCGAATAATGTTCATACCAAGAATCTACTTTGTTGGACCTAAATTTTTTATATCAAAAGACTTAGACAATTGTTCTTTTAACCTGTAAATTATACTAGCATCTTGTCCTATAATCAACATATCATTAACATATAATAATAAGATAATGAAGTTACCATTAGGGAATTGTTTAACATACACACAAGGATTCGTTGCTATTTTTTTATAGCTATGACTCACCATAAAAGAATCAAACTTCTTATACCACTGTCGTGGAGCTTGTTTCAAGCTCTACAAGCTTTTCTTCAATTTACAAACTAAGTGCTCTTTTTTTTTCACTTCAAAACCCTCAAGTTGATTCATATAAATGTCCTCCTATAAATCATCATGCAAAAATACAGTTTTAATATCAAGTTGTTCAAGCTCGAGATTCAAACTAGCTGCTAATTCCAGTACCACTCGAATAGAACTCATCTTTACAACTGGAGCAAAGATCTCATTAAAATCAATGCCTAATTTCTGAGAAAAACCTTTTACTATCAATCGAACTTTGTACCTCACTAGTTTATCACCATCTTTTTTTAACTTGAACACCCATTTATTCTTTAATGGCCTATTCCCTTTTGAAAGTTTAACAAGATCATAAGTATCATTCTTTCGTAATGACTCTATCTCTTCTTTCGTTGCTTTTAATCAATGCTCTTTATCCGAAGTAGCCTACATATCTTAGAAGTTTTTTGGCTTTTCTTCACTTGTAACTAAAATAAAATCTGAACTTAGATACCCGATAGATGACCTGTGCTCTCTAGTAGATCTCCTGGGCTGATACTCTACATCACTTGATGTCGAAGGTAGTTCCTCCTGCTCAATACTCTCAGGCAGAGATAATTGCTCCCTTTGCTCAAAACTAATTACATCTGGCTCATCACCAACTGTGGTTGGCTCATTCATATCTTAAAGTTCTGTTTCTTGCTTATTTCCACCATCTGTGACTCTTTCCTGTGAAATTTCTGTCGGTGTTGAAACATCACACTTAACAGTAACTCGTGTAGTCTTTTCATTTTTTTCAAGATCTACTATGGTTTCTTTTTCATGAAAGACCACATCTCTGTTTCTGACTATCTTTTTTTTTACTGGATCTCATACCCTGTAACTAAATTCTTCATCACCATAATTTACAAATACACACTGTGTGACTTTACTGTTAAGCTTTGATCTCTACTTTTTTGACACATGCATAAATGTTTTACACTACTTTCAAGTGAGAGTATGAAGTATCTTTTTCTTTTCACATTCTTTTTGGAATGTCAAAGCCCAAAGAAACTGATGGTGACCTGTTAAGTAAGTAACAAGCTGTGTTGACTGTTTCACCTCAGAATGGCTTCGATAATTTTGTCATTCTCAACATACATCTAACTTTTTTCACAATGGTGCGATTCATTCTTTCAGCTATACCATTATGTTGCGATGTTTCAGGTTCTGTCATCTTATGTCTGATCCCATGCTTTAAACAATATTCTTTAAAGCCTTTAGATATATATTCCCCACCATTATCAGTTCGAATACACTTCAAGGGTAACTCCGTCATCCTTTCAACCATGACATAAAATTTTTAAAAATACTGCAGTACCTGACTTTTGTATTTCGACATATACACCCAAGTCTTACGTGAAGCATCATTAATAAAAGTAACAAAATATTTGCTATCACTTAATGACTCAATCTCAATAGGACCACATACGTCAGAATAAATTAATTTCAATCTATTTTTTTCTCTAAGAACTTTTACGAAAAGAAACTTTATGATGCTTACCAAATAAATAATAATCACATGAATCGAGAGACATACCTTTGGTCAAGGGAATAAGAGACTGTCTTGCCAAAACCTGTAATCTTTTTTCACTCATGTATGCCAGCCTCTTGTGCCACAAGTTTGTTGAAGCATCATTTTCAACGGCATTTACTTGGTTATCGTTTAATTGCATCAATGTCTTATATATTATGTAACATAGTTTTCTCTTTACAACTACCATAGATCCTTTGAGAAGCTTTCACTGTCCATTCTTTTATCGACTTTCATATCCCTCTTTATCAAAGATATTAATAGCAGATAAGTTCATTCTCATATCTGAAATGTCTGACATCCTTTAAAGTCAACATGCAGCTTGTACTAGTTTGTACAATAATATCATCAATCTCAATAATCTACGACACTCTGTTATTTTCCATCTTGATACAACCAAAGTCTCCTGCTTTGTAAGTTATAAACAACTCTCTCTTAGGAACATAATGATATGTCGCTCTTGTATCAACTATCCATTCAATGTCGGGATCACTAACATGATTACAATCACTATGTGTACAAATCAAAGTAACTGAATCACTATCTCAATTCACTGTTGCAACATTACGATCATCTGAACTCTTGTCTTTCTCATCTTTTCGCTCTTATTTCAAGATTTTATAGTTTTATTTTATATGACCTGCCTTACTACAATAAAAACACTTCACTTTACCTCTAGACTTGGATCTATGTTTAGACTTATCACGACCTTTTGAGTCTTGACCTTTGTCGATGTTTCTACTCTTGTTCTCTGTGACTGGAGCTTGATTTTCAGGGCTAAATCTTTTCACCTTGCTTCTTCATTAAGAATACTATCATTTACCATCTCTAATGTCACCTTATAATCAAGAGCTGAATTAAAAACAGTCACAATTAGAGTATTTTAACTGTCTGATAATAAACCCAAAAGAAATAACGCATTCATTTCATCATTCATCTTAAGCTCCATAGTAGTCATCCGATTAAATATATCTCAAAAATCACTCAAGTGCTTTGTAATAGATTATCTATTTTTTGTACTGTAAAGTTGTAAGCTTTTTAACAAACATAACTTTATTCATACCTATTTTTCTCTCATACAATGCTGTCAATTTTTTTCAAACAATGTGAGCATCTGACTCATAGGCTACATGATGGAATACGCTGATATCAATCCATTTTCTGATTGTAGCCAGCGTCTTTCTACTTAGCTTCTTCTAGCTTTTATCTTTCATATATGCTGGTTTAGTCGAATCACCTAATACTGACTTATACAAATCTTTGCAATATAGATGATCCTCTATCATAAGCTTTCAAATTGAATAATTCGATGCTGTCAATTTTATCATAGAACCTGGATCACCCTCCATGATCTTAAATAGAATTTACTTCTATCCTAAGTTGCTTATGTATCGATGTCTGAAAATAACCATCGCTCTGATACCACTTGTTGCGCCTGAAGCAATAATCACAATAATACAGAAGCAATATATAATAATCAATAATAAAAAAATGCAAGAAAAATAAAGCACACCAAAATTTACGTGAAAAATCCTCTAGTGTAGAGGAAAAAAATCACGGACTATCAAAAAAATCTTCACTATCAAATAATAGATATACAAAGTTTTTTTCTAGCTAAAACTAGAGCTAAATAATAACTAGAGAAACAATTAGAGAAATCTCACTAAATAAGTGACTCAACAAATACATCTTAGATTTGTTTCTAGAGAGCTTCAAATCTAATCATCATCGTTCAAAATGTAAAACTTTGAATTATGAACTTCTTGATAAAATTTCAACTCAATGAATCACAGATCGACTTTCGTTCGATTATTTTTTTTTTTCTATTTTTTCTGACTTTACTTATTTTTTTTACTTGATTTTTGATATTCTTTTAAAATAAACTCACTTCTTTTTTATTAAATAATTTAGGCTACCTGTAAAATAAAAAATTAAAGCCTCTGATCTTTATTTGATCTAAAATCATTTACGGACTCCATTTTTCTAACAAAAATATCTGCAAGCTCGCTATCCACTTGCAACCTGACAACTGCATCAGTTTCCATTAAAATCCGACACTATTATTTATGAATGATCATGACTTTACGCTCTAGCCCTTTATATAAAATTTATTTTACGTTAGGCAACTGCTGACAAGGGGGCTACCAAGTATTGAAATTGACTGCCAACTGGCTAAACGCTTGCAACTTGACAACTTCATCCAGTTTCCACTAAAAGCTGACACTGTTATCTATGAGTGATCATGACTGGTGACGCTGATACAGAACTGACATGAGAGGTTCGGATCAGCCAAGCAGATTCAAGTGGTGGTTAAGTATGGCAGCAGCAATGGCTAAAACGGAACCTAAGTTGCATTTATACTTATCCTATTTCTTGTTAGCTAACAGCTTAACAAATACCTTAAACCATCCCTGTTTTGAGAATATCTAAAAAATTACCGTTTCCAGTTTCCTCGACTTGTTCAATGTCGTCACTTGTCAGCCTGTTTTGTCTATCGGATGACGCGGAAAAATAGAAAGAAGAAATGTCCTTTCCAAAAACATCTCTATCCTGTGGTATTTAATTGTGAAAATTATCCAGGATCGATGTAAGTGATTAAATTTAAAATGTGGATATAAATTATTTAAGTTTGAATTTTTATAGTTTATTTTGTAAATTTAAAAAATTTTTAAAAAATAAAAGAAATTTATAAACCTTCTCGTGGGTTGTAAAGTTGGAATAGCCTCTCTTACCAAAAAAACAAAAAAATTGTGGCAATTAAAAAGACAGACGAATGTCCTTCATTACTACCCCTATCTTGTCAATTTTTCTTCTTTTGTCTTTTTTCTAGTCTAGTTTGTCTAAGCCAAGCCATGACTCCTATTGGGCATCTAAAGAGAGGGCTACTAATTTGGACCCAATTGTTGATGGTCTTGCTTTTCACGTCACTGTCCCAAAATGGTTAAGTATTTCTGTTTACTTTGTCATTAGGCAAAGTCTAGCCCAAAACCTTTATTCGGCTTAAGTTTTTGTCAGAGCTCAGGAATCTTTGCCCAAAAGTCCAAACATACCCCAAAGCCAACCCATTCTAGGGAAATGTCTGACGACAAATTCAAGATCATTCTTGTAAACTTAAAGCCCATTTTTCGATCCTGTGTGGGGGCAACTTGCATGTTACATACATATATATATGTCTGATATGTCAAGTCGACATTTATTTCAGTTTGTACAAATTTACTATTATAGGACAGGACAGGGAAAAGAAGAGCTAATATTATTTAGCAGCAATTTTCTTCCATTGCTAGCCTGTGAACTTCCCGGCAGGTATCCCTTTCTCACCACAAAACATTTTTCCTGTATCCTTATTCTTTATTCTTGACAGGAGAAGCTCTGTAATACGCTGGCATAGTTAGGGGAAAAAACATTGGCCTTACCCCTTCGGACTTTATAAGGGGGAAAAGGATGCCTGATGCAACCTGAAAAACAAAGAAAAGGTGACAGTCTAGCAAGGATCAATGGTTGGTTGGGCAAAAAGATATACTAACAATCAGTGTTTCATGGAGACACAAACCCAAATGAATCTAGCCCCGGTCCACATGCGTTTGGGTGAAGGAAATGGAAGCAACAAGCGGCCAACACCATATATTGATATGGCAAGGAAGTGAAGCAGTAAGCTTAATGGACGGGAATTCAGACCAGAGAGTAGAGCCATCAGTCCATTTGAAAATCTGCCTCCAAGGCTTAAATAGCCTAAGCATGCTTGGCGCATTCCATCAATTTCCGGATCAGACGAGGAATTGCTAATCACCCTGTGCATAACGTGAGCCAATATATTTATCGTGGATGCCATTGGCTGTAGCAAAACGGAAGATTTCATCAAGTTAGGAGGAAAATTTCTACAGTTTTTTATGCAAGAAAACCAAGTAATTTGCATACACCAATTCTCAATTTTGCATATTTTTACAGTTTTACTTATTGGATATATAATATTTCCAATCAACAATGGCAAAAATATGTAATCCAATGATAATAATAGTAATAAACAAGGAAAAATGCTGGTGTAAGCTTGTGGGTGCTTTCCCAGCATCTTGCAAGCATTGTATCAGAAACTTTTCTGGTTTCTTTGGATTTAGAACTAAAACTTAATGTTTAAAGCTGTTTTCAGCTTACCTTCCTGAGGATAAAAAAGGTCTCAAGATACTTGCAAAGGGCAGATGAATCAGATAGATCATGCAGGGGTCTTAGAAGATCCCTTAGCACAACAACATCAGACAGGGCAACAGTCATTCCCCCACCAGTAAAAGAATGCCGCATATTGAATGCATCACCCATCAAAAGTGCACCAGGAGTTGGGTGTGGAGCTGCAGCCATGACTCTATTCGGCATGGTTCTTATGTTATTCCCCTTATCTATTGCAGAGATAAAGGCAGCGTACAATTCCTGAGGAATCTGAAATATTGCCTAATGTACTTAGTCCCCAAAATCAATCAAGTTCATTCATGAATGGCTTACAACAGGTTAGCAAAAGCCATATGAGAAATCCTTAGTTTTTGACCTAAAAAAGAAACAGTTTTCAATGTATATATATACCTGCGGAGCCACCACAGTTTTCAAATAATGGGCCATTTCACCATTGCAAACGGAAGGTAGTTTTTGGCTTGGTACATCTACCAGGCAACGAACTTCAGTGCTACTAATACTATAAAACAGTACAACTGAAGGATTCACCACTATATAATGACCATAATTTGCATATGGAAGATCACAGTTCTCCATTATAAAACCAACACTATGAGAGGGGATATCAACCTGCAATAATTTTTTGTAACTAATTAAAAGCTCATCTTTAAATTAATTAAGCAATGTTACAATCAGAACCAGAGAATACGTTAGCATATAACCTGACAAATTTTGTAGAAGTTTGATCAAGAAATATATTAGTACATTGTTTGATATCATTTGACAAGATTTGGTGAGCATATTATTTTTCACCTTAGGGTTGAAAAGAGAGCGTCGCAAATTTGAGAAACAACCATCGCATACAATTGTGAGAGGAGCAAATGCTGTGAGCTGTTGACCACTCTTAGTTTTGTAGTGTACTCCTTTGATAGTGCCATTTTCTTCGAGCAGAGATGTTACTGTCCCCTGTTCTAGGCTAACGCTGCACGATTATTAAAACGGATAGGAACTGAATATTATTGTACATGAAATTTTGGAAAATGAATTAGGTTCCATCACTTATTGCATCTTAAATTTGAAGTTGCTTTGCGAGCTACTGAAAAGCTAATTAATGTTTAGCTTAAAGCAATCATAAATATCTTTTTTCCTAAACATACGATTACTTGCTCAGCTCAACGTGTTAATGCTTCATTTGGATGATCAATGAAAAAAAAATTTAGATTCAATTTTAAAATGATACGATGGTAATCGATCATTCAAATAAAACATAACAAGTAAAAGAAAAAAAATGCTAAAAGGTCAAAGCAGCAGGTAAGAATGTGAAGAAAGGAAAGGAAGGGAAACAGTCAAAGTCATTTTAATCCTCTACTATGGTATTTGATAATTTGAAGAAATAGAGAAAGAAGTATACTTGGGAAGAGATGCAGCTTTGTTCCGCATCTTTTGTACAAAACGTCCATTATGAAAGCTTCTTCCACTCACATCTGAGTCAAAAATTTTCAAAGGATAAGGCAACTTTACATACTTTCCATCCTTGTACATGACAAAACCAAATAGCCGCTGAGCATCAATCTTATCCGCACAATCTGCAATGATAAAGATCAACGGTAACAATTGTAGCCAAGGGAGAAGCATCTTTTTTTTCCATTACTTTGTTGCTTATACATACCTTGAAGACCCAACTCAATCAACTTGAGGTAGCCACCTGGAATTAAAGCTTCACCAACAATTCTGTTGGGCTCGTTTAAGTCTCTTTCAACCACTTGCACTCGACGTCCGTCCTGCAATACAACCAAAATATTTTAGTCGATACTCAAGATTCAAGCTTTTAGGTCAAAATCGCTTTCTTTATTATTTATACATGATTAAGAAATTAAGCTTATATATATATATATATATAAAGAAGCATGATGAAGAAATTAAAGAGAAAACAATGCAAAGATACGGACTTTTCCAAGAGTATAAGCAAGAGCAGAACCAGCAACTCCAGCACCAACTATGATAACGTCTGTAGTACTCCCATTCCCAACAACCTTGGCATTTCCTGTTTTGTTTGTACATTTTGGAAAGTGCATAGATAAAGAAGTTCTTGCCTTGTTGAATCCTTTTACTAGAGTGAAAATATAATTGTACAAGAAAAGCAACACAAGTAGAAAGGCAATCAGTCCTCCAACTATGCACTGGCAAGCCATTGAGTAAACAACAATTTGCAAAATATGAAGAGGAATGTAGAGGAAAGCAATTAAATCGATATTTACACCTTTGTTCACAGGGTAGAAGTTCTGTTTGATGTTTTTTCGAAGTTAATTCGTATAAAAAATTTTATTTGTATCCAATTAAATCTTGGATGAAAAATTAACATCATTAATTTTTTTTATTAATTACGATAAAATTTTATATAATATAAATAAAATAAATAAAAATTTATTACCTGATGCAATTAAATATGCAAAAATTAAATAAAATAAAGTTTTATTCACTTTTTTAATTTTCTTTATCCCTCTTTAGGATCTTTTTAAGAATTCAATTTACTATAATTTAAAAATTGATTAATTAAAATTTATTAGTGACTAGATTTTGTTCATTTAAAGATTTAATTGAATCAAAATAAAAAATAAAAAATTTAATTAATTATAATAAAATATTAAAAATTTAAATGATTATTAAATTGTTGTTAAAAAGTATTTGCATCTTTTAATTTTTTTTTCAAAGGATTGCACCTTTACTTTAAGAATTGGTGTCCACAAATTCTTAAAATATTATGAACAATAAATATATGTATACGGGTAATAATTATGTGACATGAAAAATAAAAAATAAAATTTTCATTATTTTAAACTACATTTTGATGAAATCATAACTTTCAATTCTAAATAAGATATTGTAAACACATTACTAAAAAAAAAAAAAAATGAATGATACACAAGGGCAAAAGAAACGTCGGTGCAATTAAACAAAATCTAAGAAGAAACACATGTTAATATCGCATGTTTTACATTTTCTTCTATGGTCGTACAAAGGACCAATCAGTGATGCATATAATTAAATTGTCTTCAAAGCGTGGACAACTCACATCGAAAGTGACAACTCACATCGAAAGTGACAATTTTTTTTTTTTTTGGGAAAAGAAAGAAAGGAAAATGATAAAAAGAAAAGAAACGAAACATAGAAGGGAAGAAGGAAAAGAGAATAGAGTTGATGTCGATTGTTTTGTGATAGTAGGGTGATAATTAAATTTGGTGATTTGTGTATTTATATTATGTAAGATATTAAAATTTATGTATTTATGTTGTATTTTATAAAAAAATTAAGTGTTATAATTTAAATTCACACGAAAATAAAAAATATAATTTTTTTAATTTGTTAAATATATATAATTATTATTATAATTTTAAATCATATTATTTTTGTGTTTTATTTTTGTATCGTGTTATTATATTATGTTTTAAGTTATTCGATCTAGATGTGACGACAAAGAGAGCAACAAAGAGAGTTAAAAAGAGAAAAATGATTAGAAGAAATTGTAAATGATAATTTTCTTGAAAATTAGTGGGTGAATAAAAAAGTAAAAATTTTATCAAAAGACCTGATAGAAAATAAAAGATAGACATAAAAAGATATATAACATAAAAAAAATCAAAATCATTTTTTAAAAATATGATTTATTATGAATGTTTGTGTAGATACTTTATTTCATCTCGAATTATCCTCGAATCACAAGTTAGTTTAAATTTGGTTTTGGACTTAACCTTTTTGGAGTTGACTTTATCATTTGAGTATTAGACTTATATTATATTTTGGATTCAATGCAAATCCATTTGTTTTATTGTTTTACTTATTTATTTTTACTCTTATCATTATTCTAAAAATAAATAAAAAAGAATAAAAATGGATAAATTAAGTGATAACTTTCTGTGTTTGAAATTTAGAGTATTGGATTAAAATTTTGAAATTCTAGTGTTTTTGAACTCAAAATTCAGATTATAAGAGATAAGATGTTTAGTGTTTTTTAAATTAAAATCCTATCTTCATCATGTTAATTAAATGGTTGTTCAGAATACTAAAGGAAAAAAAGAGAATGGAAAAATACAAAGAAAAATACAAAACAAAACCCAGAGAAATTATAGTAAAAAAATATAGAGAAAATCCCAACAATTACTAGTAACTCCATCACCATTTTTGTTCTTTTTTTCACCATATCGCCACCGCTATCACAAGCATCACACTAGTCCTTAATCTATCTCAGCACCATTAAATAGTTCATCTTTAGCCATAACCACTAAGCCATCCATCGTGCATAGTTGTCATTTTTAGTCACAACCTTTAACAATTATAATCCACAACCCACATTCTCCAACAATCAAACAGAAAAAAATCTAGTAGAAAACACAGGGAAAAAGAAAGCCACTAACAAAAAATCTATCACCACTAAACTACCTAATCCTACGAATCACTAAACTGTCTAATTCTACCACCACTGAAGTTATTGTGATCGGTAGCCCAATCACTCGCTACCAAAAATCAATCACCTAAGACCCAAAACTCAAAATACCCGAAACTTAATAGACAATCGACTATCAATCTAAGATTAGTCATAATAAGCAGCAAAGAAGGCAGTAGTGGTCATGACTCATGTCAGTGGAGCGACGATAATCAAAAAGTAAGATTTTAGGTGCAGGATTCTATTATGACTCACATTGGCATAACGATTATAATCAAAGAGTAGGGTTGCAAGTGCAGGATTCTTGACTGAAATTTTGAGGTTGAAGAAAAAAAATCAAAAAACAAAAAGAAAGGTGGTAGTGGTGACCTACGACGGTGACAGTATAGGTGATGTGTCAAAATATAGAAAAATTCATCGATCTTTTTAAAGCTTGAGTCTCTTAGTTAATTTTGTAGAAAGAAAGACATAAAAAGGAAATTGTGGAAGAAAATAAATAAGAAAACCTTGAAGGGTTAATGTTTTCTCAAACGTAGCATTTTGGATTATCAAAAAAAGATGGAGTCGCTAGTTGTTCCAATTTTATGCCAAATTGAGCCAAATTTCTAATTAAACCGAGTCGATCCATTCTTTTATTTTTTTTCTATTATTTTGCTCATTTATTTAATATCTATATATTTTTGAATGAATTTTCTTCAAAAATAAAGATAATTTCAAAAATAAAGAAAAGATAAATTATTAAAAACAAAAAATAACTTCAATAATAAAAAAAGTTTTAAGAAAAAGTTGAAAATATCAATTTTTTTTAGAAAATAATTTTTTAAAAAAATGTATTTAACAAGAAATATTTTTAAGAAAAAGTTGAAAGTATTAATTTTTCTTAAATAAAAAAAATAAAAATAAGGTTTTAAGGAAAAGTTATGAGTATCAATTTTTCTTAAATAAAAATCCTCCCAATTTTAAAAAATGTATTTAGGAAAAAAGTTGAAAATATCAATTTTTCCTCAAATAAAGGCATTAATTTAAAAAAATAAAATAAGGAAAGAAATCTTAGAAAAAAGTTAAACTATTAATTTTTTCTTAAATTTTTTTTAAATGTTAAATAATCCAACGATGGAGTGTCTACAAGAGAAACAATAGTTTTCTTGTATACTCTTGAAGTGAGAGAATTTTCTTAATTTTTTGTCAAAAATATTGGATTAAATTAAGAATAATTTTTAATAATTAATTATCTGGTAAGATTTTTAAAGCTTAATGGATAATATGAAATCAAATTGGTACTATCATTCGATAAGCGTTGTGGGGGTGCTATAACCTTCTTCACACGTAACCATATTCTCGAATCTAGTTCTGATTTCGTAGACATTGAATCTACCTTTTAAAGATACCTGAGTTAAACTTAAAATTTTTTTTTAAAATGGAACAGATTCAGTTAGGTGACCAATTACACCTAAATAAAAAAGATTAGTTATGACTTTTTAAATCAATGCTAGTGATAGGTCTACGGATCTAAAAGTTATGATAGTTTGACGACTCCATTTGGGATACGTTGAGAGTCAGACCAGCAAATAAATTTGTGTTATCCAAAAGCCTAATAAAATTAATTTTTTTTAGATTTTTATTTATTTATTTATTTATTTTGCTTATTATATCATTTATATGCATGTGTATAACATAAACTCTATACCTGAGCTCCGTCTCTTTAGGAAAGAGTAAAGTATCTATGTTTTTGTGAGGTTTTAATGCCTCCACAGTGATTAACAAAATATTCATGCTCAAATTAAACCCTTTCTACTTGTAGCCTTATTGGGCGAAGATCGAGATACCTCACAAGTCTGTGATGAATAAGGATGTGAGGAACAATTTTGGTACCTTTAGATTATCAACCTTAAACGACATATAGTGATCATAAAGAATCTAACCTGTAGCTAGAGCCTTACCTTTCTCTTTGTAAAAAAATCCAACTGTTAACTTACATTTTTGCAATGATTGATTTTCCTTGTGTGAAAATTAATTGTTTGTACATATAATGTTGCATGAACTATCATTTTGAAGTGTATAATAAAATGTATGTTAGTTAAATTTTTTCTTTCATATTTTTTTTTAGCAAGATAGCATTAGGCTATATATATATTTTTGCATTCATTTTACATGTGTGGACTTGAAATCTTGGTGGTTCTATATTAAGATGATTTTTATTATCCTTCCTTCATGGCATGAGCATGTAGTAATGCAAGTATCTTAATTGGTGATGATCAAAGTTTCAAGGATAGCTCGATCATCAAAAACTCTCATTCAATCTACCCGTTATTCATACAATACTCGATCACAAACAAGGTAAATGAAACAAGAATAAAATAGTCGTATAGATAAGATTGAAAAAGCTTAAGAAGAGTTAAAAAGTAAGTTGGCAAAAATGATGGAGATGTTAAAGAGGTTAGACAAAGTCAAGGTAATAGAAGAAATCACCAATTTAAATGAGAAACAAGATATTGTGGATCTTCTACACCTTTCTGAGTTTGACCCAAATCAAGGCCAATCCTCTAAAGATGCACAAGCCCTACAAATGTCATTTTCTGGGATATATGTTTACACATATCTTGAAGTGCCATTTCATAACTACACTAACCCTATAGTTGAGGCAAAAGCATACGATCCATTTAAAGTTTTCTGATTTTAATGACCTTAAAGAGAATGAAAGGTTGAAGATAAACACTTTTAAGGTGATGGAGGATTCAAGCACACAATAAATGAACCTTTTAGAAGAGAGAGTGTGAGCTATCGAAAGAATGGATTATTTTGGCTCTATAAATGTAGCTGAACTCTATTTAGT